TGTTGTCTTATCTCTGCCACAAACCAGATCAAAGAAAGGATCATCCTAATCCTTTCTTGGCTACATAGATTAGAACAAAGGAGGACACGTAGAAATTTCAGTTCTTTTTCTTATTACTAAGATGTAAAATATAGTTATAAGCTACATTGTGTCCCCAGACTCTGGGCCAGAGACATAGTATCACACATAGTATCCAGCATCAGGCCTTGGGCTTCCTTGGGCTTATTACATCCAGCTAATACGCCTGGATAGAGTAACTTGCGTGCAGTCACACAGAGATACGATGGAAAGTCCACAGTTGGAGCTCATATCTCTGCCCAGAACTCCATTCAATGGGGTTTTCCATGCCCAGACCTAGAGCGGGGCTCAGGGTTCTTGGAAAGTGAGAGTTCAGCATCCCTTCCCATTCTCAGAGTGCAGGTTTGACTTGGTCCTGGTGGCTATACCCCAGGAGCAAGAATCGGGATGTGGCACAGAGAGGGGAGGTTTTTACCTTGTCAGCAGTCATTTGACCTGTCCAACACAGTAACTGGTATTTATGATTTCCTGTCTCAAATTCCCAGGCCTAACTGCTACTGCAGTGTCTTCATTGGAGGGGTTGGGGAAGCTCTTGCTCAGTTAACAATTCAGTCCACTGTTCTAGGGGAGTATCCTTCTCATAGCCCAAAGACTGAGTGCTGATGGCATGCAGAATCTACCATGTTCTATTCTTCATACCCTGATCAGAGTTGCAGTGAGATCCAGGAGCGTGGTTCTAGAGCTAGAAGGAGCTGGAATCACTTGTTCCAGGTCACACAGTCATTAAGTAACCAGATTTTTACCTAGTTTTTTTGTTTTGTTTTGTTTTGTTTGAGACAGAGTCTCACTCTGTTGCCCAGGCTGGCATGCAATGGCACCATCTCGGCTCACTGCAACCTTCACCTCCCAGATTCAAACAGTTCTGCCTCAGCCTCCTGAGTGAGTAGCTGGGATTACAGGCGCATGCCACCACACCCGGCTAATTTTTGTATTTTTAGTAGAGACGGGGTTTCATCGTATTGGCCAGGCTGGTCTCAAACTCCTGGCCTCAAGAGATCCAGCCTCAAAATGCTGGGATTACAGGTGTGAGCCACCGTGCCCAGCCTTTTTACCTGGTTTTTGACTCTTGACCCTGTTCTCCTATCTCTGCCCCAAGCCAGGGCAAAGAAAAGGTCATCCTAATCCTGTCTTGGCTACATAGATTAGAACAAATGAAGACATAGGATTATCTAGTCCAGCCCACTTGTCTTGTAGGCCTGGATAGAGTAACTTGCGTGCAGTCACACAGAGATACAATGGAAAGTCCAGAGTTAGAGCCCGTATCTGTGCCCAGAACTCCATTCGTTGTACTTACATTTCCTAACTGAAGCAATGTATGACATTTCCTTTTGCCATAGCAAGATTCTTTAAGCCCTAGATAGGTGTTACTTGGGGTGCTAACCCAGGAGGGCTCCAAACCTCATAGAATGCAGTGTCCTTGGCACAGCTGACCTTAACTAAATGAAGCTCCTTTCTCTGCTCGGAGAAAGGTGCCTTCTGTTTTGAGACTATATGGCCTTTGATGACTGCGTGCAGTTTGACATTATTGCATACACCAGGGATAGTGTCCATGCTCTTCCTTCTCCCTCTTCTCAGGAGTTCCGGGATCTCTGGCCTCAGTTGTCCTTGGTCATTGATGGGGGACAAATTGGGGGTGGCCAGAGCCCTGAGTGTCGCCTCGGCTCAACTGTGGTTGATTTGTCTGTGCCCGGAAAGTTTGGCATCATTCGTCCAGGCTGGTAAGTCTCATTCCTGTGGCGTGGGGAAATAATTTGAGGGAGGTTGGAGAGATGCAAAAAAGCTTTGACAAGATAAAGATGGTGCCTCCTATCTTGCCCTGAGGGAGTGTGGGCCAGGTTTGGAGAAGTGGTAGTTGGAGTGGGATTAAGTTTGCTGGCTTTCTTAGGATTCAAAAGGTTTCATCATGGATTGATGAATAGGGCATAACAAGGCTAGCCAGTTTCGATGTCCCTGCTCACCAGCTTCTGGTGGGCTTGGGACTTTGAGAAGTCAGACTGGTAACTGTCCTGTTTCCTCCTCAGTGCCCTGGAAAGTACTACAGCCATCCTCCAACAGAAGTATGGCCTACTTCCCTCACATGCGTCCTACCTGTGAAACCCTGGGAAGCAGGAAGGCCCAAGGCCTGGCGCTGGATACTATGTGTCTGTCCACTGATGACTGGCAAGGCCTCATTTGCAGAGGCCACTGGAGCTAGGGCACTAGCCTGACTGTTAAGGCAATGTGTCTTTCTGAGCACTGTAGACCAAGCCCTGGGAGCTGCTGGTTTACAGCTCGGGACAGGATGTATTGATTTGTAGTTTCATGTATCAGCCAAAAGCTGAATGGAAAAGTTAAGAACATTCCTAGGTGGCCTTATTCTTTTTCTTTTTTTTTTTTTTTTTTGAGAAGGAGTCTTGCTCCGTCACCCAGGCTGGAGTGCAGTGGCTGGATCTCAGCTCACTGCAAGCTCCGCCTCCCAGGTTTACGCCATTCTCCTGCCTCAGCCTCCTGAGTAGCTGGGACTACAGGTTCCTGCCACCTCGCCCGGCTAGTTTTTTTTTGTATTTTTTAGTAGAGATGGGGTTTCACTGTGTTAGCCAGGATGGTCTCGATCTCCTGACCTCGTGATCCGCCCATCTCGGCCTCCCAAAGTGCTGGGATTATAGGCTTGAGCCACCGTGCCCGGCCTAGGTGGCCTTATTCTAATAAGTTTCTTCTGTCTGTTTTGTTTTTCAGTTGAAAAGTAATTTAAATGACAGATTTTGAATCTAGTGAGAGCCTTCTCTCTGGTGGGTGGTGGCATTTAAGGTTCAAACCAGCTAGAAGTGCTGGTGCTGTTTAAGAAGTCTCAGGTGGCTGCGTGTGGTGGCTCATGCCTGTAATCCCAACATTCTGGGAGGCCCAGGCGGGAGAACTGCTTGAGCCCAGGAGTTCAGAATCAGCCTGGGCAACATAGCAATACTCCATCTCATAAAAATTAATAAAAAGTCTCAGGTGACCAAAGGCATGGGTTGGGCTCCTGAAGCTAGAACCAGGTTTGGATAAAGATTGAAGAGCCACAGACCACTCTTCCCTCTGAGCCACTGGGCCTAGTGGTGTCATGTATTGTAATTGCTGGCAGGGAGAGCAGTCTTTTTGGTGTAATAGTGGGATGTCTGCTAAGTTGGCAAGGGTTCAGTCCAAACTGAAGAATACTGGGAAATAAACCTCCACTATCCTTTTCAGCCAGGGACTTTTTCCTTATTTATTCGTAAATTATAGTTAATTATACCCGTAATAGCCTTGTTTAAATCCAGTGTTCTCTGCAGCCTTTTGTCTATTTATATGTGTACCAAGTGTTAGACATAATTACTGTTGGGCATTTGAACTTTGTTTTTCTTTAAAGAAATGCTGCTATTAAACATATTTGTAAATGGTTTATTCTTCTTTTGAATTATTTCCTTAGGGTAGGAGATTAGGTCAAACTGTATGAAGTATTTATGGCTCTCAATATGGATTAGCCTTCAGAAGAACTGAGTCAAGTTACACTGCCATTAGCAATGTGTGAGAATGGCTGCCCCTGCCCCCTGGCCTTGCCATGTTTAGTATTTTTCAAATTGTGCGTGTGTGAAATGAAGCCTGTGTTGCTACCCTCTGTAAATTACCATATGTCATCATCCAACCCTTTCAACTGTCCCTGCCTGCCTTGGTTTCCCCAGCTAAGCCCCAAACCAGGTGGCCAGGCCTGCTCATCTCTCCCGTGGAGTTTAATATCAGTTACCTAACTGGGGCTGGGTGTCCTTGAGGTGACCACTGGGGTCTGTTTCCTCCTTCCTCCGCTTCCCTCTTGCACCCTAGTTCCCAAAATTCCAATTCAGTCTTTTTTTTTTTTTTTTTTCTGGAGACAGAATCCCTGTTGCCCAGGCTGGAGTGCAGTGGCACAATCTTGGCCCGCTGCAACCTCTGCCTCCCACGTTCAAGTGATTCTCACACCTCAGCCTCCTGAGTAGCTGGGACTACAGGTGTGCACCACCATACCCTACTAATTTTTTGGGTATTTTTAGTAGAGATGGAGTTTTGCCATGTTGGTCAGGCTGTTCTTGAACTCTTGGCCTCAAGTGATCCAGCTGCCTTGGCCTCCCAAAGTTCTGGGATTACAGGTGTGAGCCAAGGCACTCGGCCTATTTTTAATTTTTTTAAAGACACGTCTCACTGGGTTGCCCAGGCTGGTCTTGAACTCCTGGACTCAACTGATCCTTCCACCTCAGCTTCCCAGAGTCCTGGGATTATAGGCCTGAGCGACCACACCTCGAGCCCGCCCTGAGCGACCACGCCCGATTCAGTCTTGAGCCCATAAACTTCTCAGTACAGTGGTTTCCAATGCACCTGTTTTCAAGTATATCCTAAGAATCTTGTGAGGTGTTAACAGGGAGGGGCCTACTTTAATCAGGGTGCCTGCAATTAGCATATTCGTTTATTTGTAAATAAGCACTGGTTTGTTAATTCCCTCTAGAAATCTTGTTTAGTAATTTGTTTTCCTTTTTTGTTTTTGTTTTTTTTTTGATACAGTCTTGCTCTTGCCCAGGCTGGAGTCCAGTGGTGCCACATTGGCTCACTGCACCCTCCGCCTCCGAGGTTCAAGCAATTCTCCTGCCTCAGTCTCCTAAGTAGCTGGGATTACAGGCACCCAGCACCACACCCAGCTAGTTTTGGTGTTTTTAGTAGGGCCGGGGTTTCACCATGGTGGCCAGGCTGGTCTCGAACTCCTGACCTCAGGTGATCCACCCGCCTCAGCCTCCCAAAGTGCTGGGATTACAGGCATGAGCCACCGTGCCCGGCCTTGTTAGTAATTTCTTAAGCAAACCTACTTGTGGTAAAGCCATAGCCAGCCCAACTCGTATGTCAGTTTGTCACAGAATCTAAGGTCAGAATTTGTGAGGTCTTAAAGAGAGCAAAAGGAATGCTTACTTGAGAATACCAGTTCATATTTAATTACTACAAATCACAGTAGCACTGAACATGGCTCTAGTGAGTGGGCCTCAGTCAGTTCAGGCAGCTAAAGGGAGGGGGTTTCCTCCTAGTCCTCTCCCTGGAACTAAAGATGCATCTGGGAAAAATTAGGCTCTGGAGCACAGAGGTATTTTTTTAGAGGAGAAAGAACTGAATGCCCAGCACTAGGTAAAACTGCAAAAAGAAAAACAACTGTGCCCAGGCACTAGCTACAAGGCCACACCAGATAAGGAAAGCTGGGTCCTGGAAGCTTCAGGACAGGAACTCTTCCTTAGTCAAGTTTTCCCCAGCACCTAGCACATAGGAAGGTGCTTGCTGAGTGAGTGTTACATGAACCTGTGAGTGCTCAGGATGATTTCCTGATAATTGGGTTCAGGAATCTACTGGGAGGAGCTTAAACCTAGAAGTTCCCTTTTTGAAAGTCTCAAATATGGTTCCTTAACTTAGAGAAGACAGATGATGTGAGAAGGAGGCCTGAGGAGAGGACGCAGACTGGCAGAAGGGAGCAGGGCGCATGTGAGCCCAGACCCTGACACCCTTCCAAGGGTGGTGAGTGGGTGGCCACTACACAGCACCGGCCTGCTGCAGAGTTCAAAATTAGAAGGGGTTACATGAAAGTGTTCCCAGAACGTGGAGCTGCCCTGGGCTAAGTTCAGTCACCTGCCAGCCTCTGCCATTCCCATCACCGCAGAGCACCCCAGCACCACTCGCCTGAGGAATGGTCTCTGTGCTGCACAGGCCCAGGCCTGACAGCCCACGCAGCAGCACCTAGCTGCTGACCTCTGACCTGGGAATGAGTGAGTGCCTACAACCTCAGCTGAACCCCACGTGGTGACATCTTCAGCAAGGCAAGGACATCAGCTCCTCACGCCCCTGTTGACAGGCCCCTCACATGAGCCACTGCTCCTTCTCTTTGATGAAGTGCTCTGCCCAGCGGCGGGTCAGCTCCAGGTACAGGCTGGGCTGGTGAGGCAGGTAGTCCAAATACAGGCGGGTGGGTGTCTTCTTGGGAATGGCCTTCTCAATCTGGGTGCCCTCGTGCCACTCATTGAAGGAGGTGATGGAGACGATCTCGGGTCTCACCGTCAGGGCCGCCTGCAGGGCCGTCTCATAGTACTTGCCATTGACCCTGTTGCGCGTATTGTGGTTGTTCCAGGGCCGAATGCTGGTGTCTATGTAGCCAGGCCCCACACTGGGGATGAACATGAGGTTGTTGGCATCACAAAAGTTCTTCACAGCTTTCCAGTTCTGATGGGAAGAACCAAAGGAGAAACCATTGGAGGCAAAGTAGGTGTACATGCCGTCAAATCCGGCGGCCAGGATGTCGTGGGTGTGACCCTCCTCCACCAGCAGCGCTATGAAGACCCCATCATAGGGCGTGTTGCGGATCGAGTGGGGCCCGTTTGGTGTCAGGAGGTGGGCCCAGGCCTCAGGGGACGTCAGGTATGAGTCGTAGATATAAAAGAGTGGGAGGCTCTTCCCCATGCTGTTCTTATAGCGGTAAAATGCACCATGGGAGCCATACCTGAGAAAGAGAAAGAAGAGCCTCAGCTGGATGGGAGAGACCAGCACAACTGTAGGACCTGCCGTGGATGAGATCTGGATGCCACACAGCCCAGTTCTGGAGCCAGTCGGTCTCCATAGTTGGACTCATCATGCCTCTAAGCAAGAACCTTGTTCCCCTCCTTCCTCTCCCCAGTTGTCATTCCTAAGCCTCACTTCCCTACCCTTAGCCAAGCCACTACCATCTTTCATCTGGATTGCAACAACTGGTCTCCAGGCTTCCATCCTGCCTCCGTAAAATCCATTCATTATTCCCACCTACTTGATCTGGCCCTGCCTACCCCATTCCTGCTCTTTACCCACCTATTACTCCCCATCTGGCCTTTCTATCTGGCTGTCACGTGTCAGGCAGGCTTGTTTCATCTTATGGGCCTTGCATCTGCCAGCCCTCTGCTTGGAATTTTCTCCCTGCCTCCGGATCTTTGCAGAGCTGACCCTTTTTCTTTTTTCTTCTTATTACTTTTTTTTTTTTTTTTTTTTTTTTTTGAGACAGGGTCTTGCTCTGTTGCTCAGAGCTAGAGTGTAGTGGATGATCTCAGCTCTCTGCAACCTCCACCTCCTGGGGTTCAAGCGATTCACCTGTCTCAGCCTCTCAAGTAACTGGAATTACAGGCACCCGCCACCACACCTGGCTAATTTTTGTATTTTTAACAGAGATGGTGTTTCACCATGTTGGCCAGGATGGTCTTGAACTCCTGACCTCAGGCAATCCACCCGCCTCAGCCTCCCAAAGTGTTGGGATTACAGGCGTGAGCCACCGCGCCTGGCCTTTTTTTTTTTTTTTTTTTAAATATTCTTAAGACAGAGTCTCACTGTATCGCCCAGGCTGGAGTACAGTGGTGCCATCATAGCTCACTGCAACCTCAAACTCCTGGGCTCAAGTGAGCCACTCACCTCAGCCCCCCAAATAGCTGGGACCACAAGCATGCGTCACCATGCCCAGCTAATTTTTTAAAAAAGATTTTGTAGAGATGGGAGTCTCCCCATGTTGCCCAAGCTGGTCTCAAACTCCTGACCTCAAGTGATAACTCCCACCTCAGCCTCCCAAAATGCTGGGATTACAGGTGTGAGCCACCACACCCAGCCCTGACTGCTCATTCAGGTGTTAGCTCACCTGTTGTCTCTTCAGACTCACCTGACCTGACTACCCATTCTTACGTAGTTTCTTGGGCATACTCTAGCACAAAATCCTGTATAGATCACTGTTTGATTTTTCCCATTTAATTACTGTCTGCTCCACAATACCTGCAACATACACTAGAAAGTAAACATGAAATTAGAAACTTTGCTAGTCCTACCCATTACTGTACAGCTGGGCTTAAGACAATGCCTGGACACATGTAGGCACTCAATACTCTTTTTTTTTAAGAGACAGAGTCTTGCTCTGTTCTCAGCTGGAATGCAACAGTATAATCGTGGCTCACTGTAACCTTGAACTTCTGGGCTCAAGTGATCCTCCCACCTCTGCCTTCCAAGTACCTAGGACTACTACAGGCATGCATTGCTATGCCCAGCTAATTTTTTTTTCAATAGAGATGGGGTCTTGCTTTGTTGCCTAGGCTGGTCTCAAACTCCTGGCCTCAAGCAATCAATCCTCCCACCTCTGCCTCCCAAAGCCCTGGGAGGCCGGGTGCGATGGTTCACACCTGTAATCCTAACACTTTGGGAGGTTGAGGTGGGCAGATCATCTGAGGTCAGGAGTTCAAGATCAGCCTGGCCAACATGGTGAAACCCCAGGCTGGAGTAAAGTGGTGCCATCATAGTTCACTGCAACCTCAAACTCCTGAGCTCAAGTGATCCACTCACCTCAGCTCCCCCAAGTAGCTGGGACCATAGGTGTGCATCACCACGCCCAGCTAAAGATACAAAAATACAAAAGTTAGCTGGGCGTGGTGGCGGGCACCTGTAATCCCAGCTACTCGGGAGGCTGAGGCAGGAGAATCACTTGAACCCGGGAGGCAGAGGTTGCAGTGAGCCAAGATTGTGCCACTGCACTCCAGCCTGAGCAACAGTGAGATTCTGTCTCAAAAAAAGAAAGAAAGGAAAGAAAAAAAAAAAAGCACTGGCATTACAGGCATGAGCCACCACACCCAGCCTCATTCAATACTTACTTATTTATTTATTTTTGAGACTCAGTCTTGCTCTGTCACCCAGGCTGGAGTGCAGTGGTGTGATCTTGGCTCACTGCAACCTCTGCCTCCCGGATTCAAGTGATTTTCCTGCCTCAGCCTCCTGACTAGCTGGGATTACAGGTGTGTGCCACCATGCCTGGCTAATTTTTTTATTTTTAGTAGAGACGGGGTTTCACCATGTTAGGCTGGTCTCGAACTCGTGACCTCGTGATCCACCTGCCTCAGCCTCCCAAAGTGCTGGGATTACAGGCGTGAGCCACCGCGCCTGGCCTTCATTCAATACTTTTTGAATGAATAAATGAGGTGCCTACATTGTAGAAGTCACTTTCACATATATTAACTCGTGTGATTCTCACAAGACTCCAAGGTTAAGAGGCTTGCCTCATCACAGATTAGAAGCCACAGAACAGGGATTGAAACAACCCAGACTGCCTGACTTTAGGCGCAGTACTCTCCTACTATAAAACAGCTGCTGGGAACACAGACATTATGCCCTGTGTCTCTTGACCTGCCCCTCCAAACCTATCCCTACCTCCATTTTGATCCCCACCAAAATCCCAGCCCCCAGAACAGCCTTACGTGTCAATGATGTACTTGATGTTGTCATGTACAGTGATGTCATCCCGGCCCTTGTAGGGTTGGATGTGGAAGGCCACCTGCCACAAACAGAGGAGTAACTGGTCAGGTGAGTGTCTATCCAGGGGCTACAACATATCAGGCTCAGGATCTAACCATGGCCTGGAGGAGAGGCTGAGTTCAGAAGAGTGCCTGGCTGGTGGGCACAGTAGAGATAAAGGCAGCTGCTGCCCTTAGAGGCCAAAACAGGGGTGAGCAGTTTGCCCATCTCCTGCAGCATGGCATGTGGGAAGCATTTTGGTGGCTAATAGGTTTCAACCAAGTGGTTGGTGCTAGCTGCCTGAAACAGTGGAAGAAGTATGCTGAAGCTGTGTCGGTGGGAAACTGCTGTGATCTGTTAGACATGTCAGTGGTGGAATTCCCCTCAGGAATGGGGAGTGGGGCTTTTCTTCCTTCTCTATCATTTTTCTTCCTTCACCACAGAAGCAAGGGATGACTTACTCGATCGGCACATGTGGGGAAATGCTTCGTCCAGCTCCATCCTTCCTCTTGAAAGTGAGCCCACCTGCTGAGAACACCTGTCTACTCCATCCTTCCTCTTGAAAGTGAGCCCACCTGCTAAGAACACCTGTCTACTCCTCGAGGTCCAGCACTGCCTCCCACTAGAGAGTTGAGTCTGCAGGTCCCTTTGGCTCTTGCCTACCCTTTATCCACCAGGGTTTACAACCTAACCTCTATTACTATTTAACAAAAGTGATAATTATTTAGTCTTCTCTTGGCCTATATTTAGTTTTCTCAGTTTTCTTAGAATTCAAAACACTAAGAGCAACATAGGCACCGTTTATCTGAACCCTCCCCCAAAACTACACTTGCCACATCTTTGTTATCCCTGGGCTACTGCCAAGAACTTCTGTAGAGGCACTAACCCTGTGGGCGGAGAAGAGTAACTCTCCAGAATAGGGCAGAGAGCACGTGGGCTCTTCTTGGAGACTCACCTGGATGCTGTACTGATGGGCGGTGTCCAGAATGGCGGGCACCAGGTCATCCGAGGGCTCTCCGTTATCATCAGCCATGCCAGGTGGGTACCAGGACAGGACCAGGACGCCTGAGACGCAATACAGAGGCCACTTCAGAGACACACAGTACCCACCTCAACAGAGATTTTTTTTCTCACAAACATCTCCAGTTGCAAAAATGGTTTCTAAAAAACTGCAGCAAGCTTCCTGCCAGGTTCACTTCCGGCAGATGAGTCCCAGAGCCTCGCGCCCCGGAGCTGTCCACGCCCGCGGTGCTGAAGCGCAGTGCCTGCGGGAACCGTAGCGCGCCAGGCCGGAAGGGAGCCAGGCTTTAGAGTGCATCAGCAAGTAGTAGAACAAAGGGAATGGGTGGACAGTGCCACACCCACCTGGAAGCCACAGGCTTACCTCTGAAAAAGGGAAGCGCCCTAACCCCTAACATGCCACATGGAGAAGAGCCCTAAGCAGAGGCCATCTGTAAAACCAGCAGAATTCAGTGATGATATCCGAAATAAGTGAGCCTTCCCTCCCCAGCCTACAAAGGAGGCGCCCAGGGACCTTCCCTCTAGCTGGGTGCTTGATGAAAAGCCTCTAAACCCCCAACACTACCCCCAACTGCAAATACAGCAGAGGCCTTCATGGAACACGGGCACACTTTCCTCTCTGCAGCCAGTAAAAGCAGGAAGGGCTGCTGCTCTACCCTGTACCTGCCGTGAAAGCAGAGGCGACCGTAGGTTCCACTCCTCTGAACCCCAGATCCTGCGGGCCAGGACTCCAGGCCTCACTTCCCATTGCCCAACAAATTTGAAGACTCTGCCTCCCTCTCCTGGTGCAAACTCCCAGCAGGTCCGCCCTATGGAAGGGCCCTGGATGTTAGGGGTCGAAGGGCCCAGGTAGGGGGTCTGAATACTAGACGGAGGGGGCGGTGTCGCATGGTGGGCTCAGGATGAGAGTGGGAGGGAACATCTAAGAAGCCAGGCTGGCGGGTAAGTGGGACCAAACGCCCGGTGACAGGACCAGAGGGAGCTGGGATGTGGGAAGGAGGAAGGGCGAGGCTGGGGGGCAGGGTCGCCCGAGGTGGGGGGCGCTCACCGATGGCGGCTTCCTTGAGCTGGGTCATGTGCTCCCGCAGCACTTCGGGGTCCCGGGAGCTGTAGGGCCCCAGCTCCGGGTAGAAGCTGGATCCCAAGTCGTCTGGGGGGCTGTGGCGGCCGCGGGGGTAGCTGGCCGAGATCTTGGGGTCCCAGTGCGGCACCATGACGTGGTCCCAGTGAATGTAGTGGCCCTCGCGCCGCGGGCTCCCGTACCACGAGTAGTAGAAGGCGTGCAGGTCCGAGTAGACGCTCCGGCTCTGCCCGGGGGCGGGCTCGGCCTCCGCGGGTGCCGGCCCAGGAGAGCCGCCAGGATCCGCGGTGCGGGGCGGCGGCGGCGGCGGGGGCGGCGCGGCAGGGGCTGCCGGGGCCCGGGCAGCGGGCGCTGGGGCCGCCTCCGGGCGTCGCTCAAAGGGCGCCAGCTCCAGGCCCGGGCCCAGCGCCGGGAGTCCGTCCGGAGCCTTGAGCGTGCGCAGGCCCATGAGGGTGCCGAAGGCGAAGAGCAGCACCAGGAACAGAGCTATGCAGGCGCGGCGCCGCCGCCGGGCCATGGCCGACCGTGCGCTCCTGTGGCCACCCCGCTACCTCCCCGCGCGCCGAGCCATGGCCGCCTGCCCGCCCGCCCGCTTCCCTGGGAGACTGTGCGCCCGGCAGAGCGCGGCGTGGGCGGCGCCCGGCCTGTCCCCGCAGTGCGGGCGGGCTCGGCACACAGGACGCAGGCGGCGCGGACCAAGTGGCCGCGAGCCGAGGGGGAACTGGACGCCGAGGGCGACGCAAGGCCCAGCAAACGGCGAGTTTCGGGCCACAGGAGCAGGGACCTGAGTCAGGCCGCGTGGCCCGCGGAGGAAGAGTCCTTCCTATACAAAGCCAGTTCCCCTCAAGCCTGGCTGCCTGGGCGGCGGGTGGCGGCGCCTCGCTGGGGAGTGGGGACGCAGGCCTTCCGGAGCGCCGGAGAGGGACGGCGCGGCGGCAGCGCTGGGGCGGCGGGGGCGGGGGCGGGGAGGGGAGGAAGCGCGCGTCGGTGGTCCTCTCCCCAAAGATTTCCTTCTCTGTCGATCCCTCTTTACTCACTTCACTGGCCCCCTCCCTACGGGTCTCAGTGCCACCCTTCTACCCCCCTGTACCCCATCCCTCGGCCCCCCTCCCCGGCACCCCAGGCAGCCCCTGAATCTCGGTGGAAGGGGCTTCGAGAAATCTCGAGGAGTCGGACCCTACAGTCGCCGGCCGGGGACTGGCGGGCGGAGGGCAACCGTGACTCGGGCAAGGTCACACTGACTGGGCCTGGACCCCGGGTCAGGACGCACTCTCCAGAGCTCGCACTCTCCAAAGCACTTCCACGCGATCTGAAAAGCAAGCACTCAGTACATTTGTGTCTTTCTTCCTGGATTCTGGGCTCCAGAGGACAGGCCCCGTCTTATTTACCTTGTTAGACGCCAAGGGCTGCCAGGACAGGATCTGACACTTGCTTCCTAGTGCCGTTTGAGTGAGTACCAGCCCCTGGTGTGATAGTCTGTAGATAAAAGCTTTTCACTGGATATTGCTAGAGTTCCTACACGGCGTTATACATTACTTCATTTATTCAGAAGATAGTTTTGTTTATCATATGCCTCCTTCAGTGGTCCGCAATGACAGCAACTTTGTTTCATTGCATGTCTAAAACAGTGCTTAGGATGATGGCGGGCATCCAGTTCTTATTGGTTAAGTAAAATGAATTATAGGGAACCCAGGAAGAGGAGCAGCAAGGTTAGGAAGTGTTGGTAGACCTGCAGCCCAGGAAAGTGAGCTTGAGAGACCTTATGGTGCTAAGTGTGAATGAAGTGGAATGCCTTCAGCTCCAGGTTGCAGATTCCCGATTCAGCCTGGCTTAAGGAATATGCCAGTGTATCAACTTGCAAAGCAAGAAGCCCAATGGCAGGACAGAGTGGGTATATTCTCTGATCTAACAGTCATCAGGAACCTGAGATGTTCCTGTCTCACTCTTCTACTCTCCCCACCACTGACTTCATATACAAAGCCTGTTCCCCTCATGCCACAAAATGGCTGCTATGGCCATTGACTCCTCCTCCCATTCCACAGGCAAGGGTAAGACTGATTTCTCTTTCCCAGAAGTCCTAAACAAACATCTCATTGAATCTCATTGATCTAATCTGGTTTAGGCCTTTTTATGCCAGACAAATTGTTGCCGAAGGGAATAGAATTACCTTGACTAGATTAGATTACATTTGTGGAGTGGGTTAAATGTTGGAGAGAATACCATGTCTACCGAAGAATGAGGTGACTCTGGGAATAGAAAGAGTGAGAAGAGGCCGGGTGTGGTGGCTCACACCTGTAATCCCAGCACTTTGAGAGGCTGAGGCGGGTGGATTGCCTGAGCTCAGGAGTTCGCGACCAGCCTGGGCAACACGGTGAAACCCTGTCTCTACTAAAATACAAAAAATTAGCCAGGTGAGGTGGCGGGCTCCTGAAGTCCCAGCTACTTGGGAGGCTGAGGCAGGAGAATTGCTTGAACCTGGGAGGCAGAGGTTGCAGTGAGCTGAGATCACACCACTGCACTCCAGCCTGGATGGCAGAGTGAGACTCTGTTTCAAAAAAAGAAAGGAGAGAGAGAGAGAAAGAAAAGAAAACGGGTAAGGATGGAACTCTCAGAAGGAAGGAAGGAAGGAGGGAAGGAAGGAAGGAAGGAAGGAAGGAAGGAAGGAAGGAAGGAAGGAACCCCAATAAACTAAATCCCTGCCTAGAATACAAGTAGAACTCTATTTCAAAAAATTTTCAAATAGAATAGAACTCTCGGAGGAGGAGGAGGAGGAGGAGGAGGAGGAGGAGGAAGGAAGGAAGGAAGGAAGGAAGGAAGGAAGGAAGGAAGGAAGGAAGGAAGGAAGGAAAGAAAAAGAAAGAAAGAAAGAAAGAGAAAGAAAGGAAGGAAGGAAGGAAAGAGAGAAGAGAGGAGAGGAGAGAACAGAAGAGAAGAAAACGGGTAAGGATGGAACTCTCAAAGAAAGAAAGAGAAAGAAAGAAAGAAAAGAAAGGAAGGAAGGAAGGAGAGAAGAGAGGAGAGAGAAGAGAAGAGAAGAAAATGGGTAAGGATGGAACTCTCAGAAAGAAAGAAAGAAAAGAAAAGAAAAGAAAGAAGGAAGGAAGGACAGAAGAGAAGAGAAGAGAGAAGAGAAGAAAAGAAAATGGGTAAGGATGGAACTCTCAGGAACACCAGCATTTCTGGGACAGGCAGAGGAAGGAGAGAGTCTAAGAAGGAAACAGAAGGAATCATTAACTAGGAACTAAAAGAACAGGGAATGGGTGATGGTCGTTTTGGAAAACTAGTGGGAAGGTTTCCCCAGCTCCCAGTCATCCCACTATTTCTGGGATACCCTGAAACAGTTGTTTCCCCTGTTGGCTATGCCTGGAGTCCCTGACACTGCCACCTGGCCATGATGGTTTGACCCAGGCCTAGAACTCTGACCTGGTGGTCAGAGTTGGACCAGTGATAGCATCCCATCTTCCATTGGACCAATCATGAATACTGACCCAAAGGGCATCAATTCCAATCATTTTTTGGGATTTTACTCTCTGGTCTGGGGGAGAGATTTTATTGTCTTTAAAGATAATGCCATTTGCCGGGTGTGGTGGCTTATGCCTGTAATCGCAGCACTTTGGGAGGCTGAGGTGGGAGGATGACTTGAGTTCAGGCATTTGAGATCAACCTGGATAACATAGTGAGACCTCATCTCTACAAAAAATTAAAATACATTAGTCGGCCTTGGTGGCATATGCCTGTACTCCCAACTACTCGGGAGGTTGAGGTGGGAGGATCACTTGAGCCTGAGAGGTCAAGGCTGCAGCGAGCCGTGATGACACCACTGCACCCCAGCCTGGGTGACCAAGTGAGACCCTCTCTCAAAAACAAACAAGATAATGCCATTAGAGGGAGGGGACAGAGAGAAACTTAGTGGTATTGAAGTCCTGATTTCAGTTTTCCTGGCAGTCTAGTTGCAGTGTGAAACCTGGACCATTCTTCCAATAAGTTACCCTTTTATTCTGAGCAAGGTGAGCTGATGGAGCTGACTATTGATTGCCTATCAATCTCTGACAAGACCAAGAAGAGGACTTGGGAGCAGGAGGTCATTTGGGAGGTAATCTCAGGAAGTAAGAGTTAGGAAGTGAACAGAATGAGACAAGAACAAAAGAAAAGCCAAACCAATGGTGCAGAGGATGTCGCTGCTATAGATAATGGGGCCTTAATTCTGCCAGGTCTTTTCAGAAGTGTACAAATGCCTCTCAGAGTTAGGAGGTGTGAGGCTGAAGCAATTATCTAGTGACCCCCTCCTCCACTGGTCAAGCATTTTCCCTAGGGGAGTTAACTTCCTTGTATTTCTGGTCTCCTGTTGCCAAGCAGACTCCCAGGACATCAGAGAAGGTTTTGAAGCAGGTACAAAGAGAGACAGACATTATTTATTCAAGTGGGATGCCGCCAGTGCGAGGAAGACTAAGCTTGCACAGAACCATCCATCCTAGATGTACTCATTTTCTAAGCTGTCGTAACAAATTACTATACATTTAGCAGTTAAAACAGCACAAAAGTTTACTGTCTCATGATTTCCGTAAGTCAGAAGTCTAGGCACAGTGTGGCTTAGTGAGTTCTCTGGTTGGAATCTCACGAAGCCAAAATTAAGGCGTTGTCAGGTTACACTGCTTTCTAGGCTCTAGGAACGGATCTACATCCAGCTCAATGGCAGAATTCAGTTCCATACAATTGCAGGGCTAAGGCCCCCATTTGCTTGCTGACTATCATCTGGGGAGTCTTTCTCAGGTTCTAGAGGCCTGCTGCATTTCTTGGCTTGTAGACCCCTTCTTCCATCTTCAAAGCCAGCAACATCAGATCTTGTCCTTCTCACACTTTGGATCTCTCTAACCTCCCTCTCTACCTCTCTCTCGTACCTTCCTCTTCTGGTTTTAAGAGCTCATGTGATATATGAGATGCCGTCAGATAATCCAGGGTAACTTCCCCAGTTAAAGGTTAATTATTGGCCAAGTGGTTCATGCCCGTAATCCCAGCACTTTGGGAGGCTGAGATGAGAGGATCACTTGAGCCCAGGGGTTCGAGGCCAGTCTGAGCAATATAGCAAGACCCTGTTGCTACAAAAAAATAAAATAAAATAAAATAAAATAAAATAAAATAAAATAAAGGCCAGGCACAATGGTTCACACCTGTCCCAGTACTTTAGGAGGCCAAGGTGTATAGGTTGCTTGAGCCCAGAAGTTAAGAGACCAGCCTGGGTAACATAATGAGACCTCATCTCTAAAAATTTTTTTAATTAAAAAAATTATAAAATATAAGGTCAACTAATTAGTAAACTTCATTCCATTCCACAAAGTCCCTTCACAACAGTAACTAGATTATTTTTAATTGAGTAGCTAGAGGACAGGAATCTTGGTGGGGGACATCTTAAGAGTTCTGCCTAAAAACTGTTCCCAAAATCAAGGTGGACCAAAGAGATGTGACACACGGCATTCAAGGTGTGTATTACACCCATTCTATCGATTATAATGTGTGTTCAGCCACAAATAAGAAGGAAAACAGCTAAACATGGCTTAAAGTGCTTCTCAAACTTTAGTGCGCATGTCAGTCCCCTGAGGATCTTGTTAAAAATATAGATCCTGATTCAGTAGGTCTGGAATGAAACCTGTTTTTTTGTTTTGTTTTGTTTTGTTTGTTTGTTTGTTTTTTGAGACAAGGTCTCACCCTATCACCCAGTCTGGTGTGCAGTGGCGCAGTCACAGCTTACTGCAACCTTCGCCTCCTGGGTTCAAGCAGACTTCCCACCTCAGCCTCCCAAGTAGTTGAGACTGCAGGTGTGCATCACCACACCTGGCTAATTTTTGTTTCTGTTTTTTGTTTTTTGGTAGAGATGGGGTTTCGCCATGTTGCCCAGGCTAGTCTCAAATTCCTGGGCTCAAGCAGTACACCTGC